CCTGTTCTGATTGGCCTGATTGGCCTGGTGATGGGGGAGCATGGGAAGTCTCTTCCCACCACCACGGGGGTGGGTGCTTAGTGGGATATGGGGGGCAAAGGGGCTCCCCAACCCCCCAGACCAATCATGACCTGTGGGTGGGAAAGCTCGAAGCATCCTAGCCCCGCCCCTTCCATTTGAGGCCCTGCCCCTTCCAGCTCCTTCCCACACCGCTTCTGATGGCAATAATTTTTTGCCGGGGGCCACTTTTGCCTCTGGCAAAAATTATTGCTCATCCCTGAGGTAAAGGGAGTGAGTGTGCTGGAGCCTGTGAGCCAAACTGATTTGAAGAATAGAAATAAAAAGTTCTGGTTCTGTTTGAAGTTTGTGTTGAGATTCAGGCCAATTTTCATTTTCGTATCCCTAACTGTGACCCACCTACTGCATTGGAATTCACTGGCAAGGATTTCTCAATTCTTCTGGTTTTCTGTATTGAAAATTATTTTACTGTAGTTTCCTGGAGGCATTAAAAGCTCCACCTTAATGTGGAATAAATGATGATTCTTTTTAACCCCCACCTTCTCTTTTGTTCAACAGCAGGCCTGGCCTAGTGGGACCCAGCAGATTCTGCTCCCTCCAGCCTGGCAGCAGTTAACTGGAGTAGCCACCCACACCTCAGTCCAGCATGCGACTGTCATACCGGAGACCATGGCAGGGACCCAGCCACTGGCAGACTGGAGGTAAATAAGAAACTCTGGAGTATTTTGTGTGTGAATCTGTGAGACATCCACTATTTGTGTGTCAGTCTGACTTGCCTCTGTCTGATTAGTTGCCAGTACGCCAAGCTGTGTGTTGGAGCTAACACTGAAAGCCTTTGGGTGTAGTCTTTGCCCATGTAGTCACTAGACTCCCAGCATCTGCCTTGGTCTGTAAGGGGTAGTCTCTCTCTTATGCTTCTCCTTACAGCTCTGTCCTTGTGACACAAGAATATCGTACAAGAAAAAAGACGCGAGCTCCTTTCTTGATCCCAGCAGCTTCCCCCGACCATCCAGATCTGCCTCTGCCTTTTTAAAAAGTCAGACAGCCTTACTGTTTTGTGCTGTGTTGCAGCCCAGGAGTCAGCATGCAGCACTTTGTGCTGTCCGGCCGGAGGGAGCAGGCAGGATAATTCTGTGTGGGTGGGATGTCTGTGCAGAGTGCTGCAGCAGAGCCCTAGCCCTTTGCAGTCTTGGTGCAGACATGGATGGTGGGTCCTTGGCGTTTTGCAGACAACATGGGGATGGAATTCTGGATGTCCTTTCTGTGTTTGTGAATTCCTGACCTTTGTCAAAGGATCAGGGATAGAGAGGCACTTCTCAAGCCAATTACTATGAACCTGTATATTACAGTGGACCCTTCCCAAAATGGTTCCACTTGTGGTTTCTTTCATCTGCCCTGGAACATCACCAGGGCTTCTGTCTTCACTGCCTGCCTCTGGTAGTCTTTCCACTTCCAAGCTGCTCTTACTTCTTCAGAGGGTTAGTGTCAGCAGGCGCTGAAAGGCGGCACTTAGCAAGGATGGTCACTGCAGTGCAAGGCCTTGAGAGTAAGTGGATTAAAGTAGGTAAATTGGGAGGCCCTTGAAGCTCTTGTAAGGCCAAATCCTTTGCCCCCCTGAAGCAAATTCTTGCGAGATGACAGATTGGCAAGTCCCTGTGTCATTTTCACCCTTTTTACTCAACAAAAACAGGTACCAAAGAGTCACTAACTGTGCTCTTGAACTCTCTGAGATAGTCACAAGCACAACAGAGGTAAAGAGTTTGAAATCTGTGCTTCATTGTCCCAAAGGAACGTAGTCAGATTGTCTCTCACTTGCTCCAAGGATGTGGTATATTCCAGAAGATAAAGACATCACTATTGGGTCAAAACATCAGTTTCTTTCCCAGGAGAACAGTTGGCAGATAGAAGATTTTGTTTCAGCACGCTGTCTTCTCACCTTTCCCCGAGGTGGGGGGGAGGGGTTCAGGTCAACTCTAGGATGAACCTCAGTTGGAAGTGAGGGCCTGATGATCTGGGTTATTTGGCATATTCAGGTGATCCCCAGAACAGCCTCCACTGTGAGATGGTATCTCACTCCAAAGTCCTGGTTATACTGGACCTTAGGGAGTGTTGGTTATTGCTGGGACATGGACACTTCTGGCTTCCCTGGTAGCCTGATGTGACGTCTGGTTTGTGAGGCATTTGTGAGCCTGACCTGAAGATGCTGGAGAAGATATTCTTGAAGGACAGAGGGGAGTAGGCATATGTAAGTGGATACAGTGGACAGAACACCAAGCTGCATAGAAAAAGCTACCAGAGTGGTCAAAGTATGTGTCGGGGGTGGGGAGGAGGGTATTGTTTCTAAGCCTTATCCAGAGGCATACTGTTATAGTCTACTGACCGGGACTTATACTGCCACATAGACAGTTTGGGTCGGTACTGAGCTGAGTCCCTTGTTTCTTGGGTGGGAGAATTGCAGCGGGAATGAGTTCAGCACTAAGGAAAAGAGTGACATGCATCTCTCTCAGCTGCCCTCTTCTGCCAGCACACCCAGTGGCCTGAGTGGTTCCCATGGAATATTGCCTAAACATAAAACAGGTGCCTGCCTACCCCACCCAGAGCATGAAGCAGATATCTCTGAAAAGCAAAGGGAAACAGTCCTTCATGAGAAAAGCACCAAGCCAGGACTGGCGTGTTCCAGGTTACCCTTAGCTGGGGGCACTTATGCCTTTTAATGGAAGCCTTTTAAAGAACCGATACACATTCAAAATGCATTTATTTCCAATTTCCCTTCTCTTGCAGAAACACACACGCTCACGGCAGCCATTATAATCCCATCATGCAACAGCCCGCGCTCTTAGCTAGTCATGTGACTCTTCCAGCAGCACAGCCCTTGAATGTGGGTGTGGCTCATGTCATGAGGCAACAGCCAACCAGCACCACTTCCTCCAGGAAGAACAAGCAGCACCAGTCATCTACAAGGTAAGTGGCAAAAAGCCAAGTGGAAGTCTGAGGACTCCTAGGACCAAATTCACAGCTGGCAAAGTAGACCCGACTATGCTGAAATTGATGGAGCTTCATGCACTGACGCTAATGACAATTTTGGTGGACACTGTATAAAGTGAGGGGAGGAATGGCCCGATTATTCTCTCAGGTGCACCCTGTGTAAATCAAGAGGAACTAGGTGGACTTGGACTGTGTAAGTGAGTAAAGGATCAAGCCCATGATATTCCGCTTTTCTCTCTATATACTGTAGTAGGGTTCTGCTCTGCTTTCCATGCGAGAGGTGAAGTCACTCAAACAAAAGTTCATGAGACTGTGCCTGTTTAAATCCATTAAATTGATGTCTTGGCAGAATTAGTGGATATCGAACCACTTAAAAGCCCTGTCGCTTCCACTTCAGTGAATATATGTAGAACACAGTAGGTATAAATATAGCCTGCACAATGAGGTGAAGTGACATACAATTTTAATGCATTGTGTTTGGGATGGCTGCATCACTGAGAGCAACAGAGCCACAAGTCAGTTGTATAAGTCTCTGCAAATTAATGCCAGTCAAAACTCTTTATTAACTCTCCTCCTGCTAAAGGAAATATCCCATCTCTGCATTCTGTTTATGAAGCATAGTTCTTACTTGCTTTTTGGTTTCTATTTTCTGAGTTGAGCGTGTGGGGACAGCATTGAAATGTAAATAGAGCTAATACAAAGAGCTTTTTTCTATTGAACGCAGAATAAGGATTATCCCTTGGTCTATTATATCACTATTTGAAATTATTTTTAGAACTTTTACAGTAGATGTTATGAATTTGCCAGCAGGATGCCGTTTACACCTGGGTAAAGTGAGTGTGAAATGCTAGTCATCTGTTATTTGTTTTACACTCACATTGCACAGGTGTAAATGACAGTAAAAGGTGTAAGACAGTGTAATCAGGCCGTGCTTTAATAATAGTTTCTACGTATCTATTACGCGATGTGTGGTGTGCATCTTCATTAAGAACAAATTATATGCTGTTCAAATGTAGGGATTCAGTATGCCCCAATCCCAGTATATCCATAGAAAAAAAGGTGACCATCTCCCTCTATCTGACCTCAGTGACACTTCTAAGAGGCTGCATTTCCTTAATATTGCCATCCCCTCAGTGAGCCACATTTTCAGAAATAACCTAAGGTGTGCCCTAGTATCACGTTCATTCAGGAATAAATGAATGATTGCATATATGCAGGGATAGATCCACTGGTCCAGCTGTGAGAAACTCGACACAAAGTGAGGGGCAAAGATAGCCTATAGCTACCTGTACTCTTCCCTGATTCTAGATATGGTCCAGGATCTAGACTGGATGCCATAGCTTATGCTCAGCTACAGTGGCCCAAAGAAGCCATTCTAGTAGTTGGAGAATCATGGGGGCATGAAGACATTTCCTGCATCAAGGTCTGGGATGGGAGGTAGCATAGGGGAATCCTCCGGGGCTGGATCTATCAGCTGCATGACTTTTCTGTCCTGCAGGAGTGGGGCCAGGTTTTGGTCCAGATCATGCAGTTGCATGAACAAAATGCATGTGCAATCACAATCTCACTCCTTTGGCAATCCCCGTGGGTGTGACACATTGGCAGTGTGGGTCCATGAGAAGGATGCTTTGCTGCTGCTTGTGCTGTCCTTGGTCTGTGGACAGAGAGTTAAGGTCTTTAGGGATGTTAAACAAGCAACTTTAATGAGCACTGAACTTTTCTAAGAAAATAAAGAGTGAGAAAGAGACAGAGAGAGATCCAGAAATGGCTGCAGTCCCTAAAGCCCCTTTCTAAATCTGTCCCTGTGTTCGGGCTGGAGCCTGGCCTCTGAAACTCTGTAATGGGGGAGGGTCTCAGAGCCCACATCTACTCTGCTGTTTTAGCCCCACAACACAAGCTGTGCAAGTCCAGATCAGTTGACCAAGGCGCTGAGACTCACAGCTACACGGTTTATTTGATTGTGTAGCCGGACCAAAGGAAGGGGGGAACAGAGGAGCTTGTAGTTTTTAGGGGACTGGATTGAGGCTAGAGGAACTGTACTGAATTCACAGCCAGTGCCACTGTATTTAAGATGCTCATGTTCAAACCTTTCCTGTTTATCTGCTCTCTGATGTGTTATGTTTCATTTACTTCATACGGATTCCGGCCATCTTAGCCCATTCGTAACACAGAACAGAGCCAGTTAAGACCCGACAAGCCAGTAAAACAGGGAATAAATCACAATACATCTGGACATACAAAGTGTCTCCCCTGCCCCCCGTAATCTGCCACCAGGGCACACGGCATCTGCATCAGAAGAGTCAGACAGTTACAGAATAGCTGCTTTCCACAGTCCTCTATTTTACATTATTTGTGATGCTTTTGTATCCAAACGAGAGAGATGTTCCTTTTGAGGAGAAGATACTCAATGCTTCTCATTGGTATTCAAAAAGCACTGCAAATGCTAGTGTGCAGTCATTTGTTATGCAAAGGACCCTGTGTAAGGCAGCGCGGTGTCACATGTCCATAATTCTTTCCCTTTGATACATGCCACCTATTCCTTTTGTTAGCTTTCAGGCCAAACCATAAACACAGTCAAAACCTGCCTGTAAAATGGAACCCAAACCCGAATTTTGCTTTTCTTTTAACTGTGGAAAATATTCTGCTAGAAGAGGCAAAAATAAAGGCTTTAGGGAACAATGACACGGGTACTAGTGAATAGACACTCCTTCATTCAAGAGCTTTTTGTTGCCTCTGTGTTTAGGGTCCTGATGTAAATGAACCCCCGCTTTCCTTACTCACTTTAGTGCAGGGAGAGTGAACTAGGAAGAGAGAGGAGAGGGAGTTGTGAATTTTATTCCCTCTAGTGAAGGAAAGCCTGTTTACTTCTTCCACCCTGCACCCGTTGCCCTTGCCACCTCACTGTAGAGCCAAATGTCTCCCCCTAGGGAACATCCATTTGCTCCACAATGTTGTTGAGAGAAGGAAGGATGGGCAACATTTTATTGTCAAAACATCTTCCTTTTTTTTTGACAGAAAAATTTCAACCAAACAATTTTTATATGAAAAATGTCCTCTTTTCATGGAAAACTTCAGGTACGGGGGTTAAAAAACTGAAATATTTTGTATGGAAAACCAAAATATTTTTATCTGGACATGTGGCAGAAATGCCTTCTAAGAATTGTAATTGATGTGCCTGTGCTGCCATTCTCTTCAATATGCTGGGCTCCTTACCTGGAGAGCATCTTCTGGGATGCAGCATTTCCCAAGTGAACTACTTTGGTTTTCAGACCAAATTTTTTTTTCCAAAAAAATCTAAACTTTACCCAAACGTTTTTCTGCCAGCTCGAGTGATGCAATGCACTTCTTTCCTCTCTCTCTTGAAGAGGTGAATACACCAGTTCTATAGCATTCCCAGAGTTCAAGAGAGGTAGAGGCCAGGAATCAAATGTCAGGGCAGGCTGAGCAATCCAAGCTTTAACCAACGGATTGGTTTTGTCATTTTCAGAAACGTGTCCACATACGAGGTTTCATCCTCTCAGGCCATCAGCTCCCCTCAGCGGTCAAAACGCGTGAAGGAGAACACCCCCCCTCGCTGTGCCATGGTGCACAACAGCCCCGCCTGCGGCACTTCTGTCACGTGTGGGTGGGGAGATGTGGCTTCCAGCACCACGCGGGAGCGGCAGCGGCAGACGATAATCATCCCTGACACACCCAGCCCTGCAGTCAGTGTCATCACTATCAGCAGTGACACAGATGAAGAAGAAGAACAGAAACATGCGCCCACCAGGTGAGCAGTAATTCTATACCTGATCAGGGTGGGGGGACCCGGAGTGCGCAAAATTCCCTTGAGTCTTAAGAGGTAGGATTGGAACTCAAAGACATGCTTCCCCCTCTCTCCCCTCCCGCCCCCCGGACAATTCTAGTCCATTGGTGCGCAGACTATATTGTGTGGACAGACAGTGGCATGGAAAGCAATTCCTGGAAGTCACCCTAACAAAACATTGTGACAGGAAAGTTAGTATGGTCCAGTGGTGAGTGTGCTAACCTGGGCCTCAGGAGCAGTAGGTTCAATTCCCTGCTGTGCTATAGACTTTTTGTGTGACCATGGGCAATTTACTTGATCCCTTTGTGTCTCAGTCACTCCATCTATAAAATGAAGATAATACTTTGGGCATGTTCACACTACCCACTGGACCAATGGGCAGCAATCAGTCCAGTGCAGGTTGACTTGGAGACATGAAAAATCAACTGCCAAGCACTCTCCTGTTGATTCCGGTACTGCACCAGAAGGAAAAGAGTAGGGGGAGTCAACAGGAGAGTATCTGCCTTAGACTCTTAGCAGTTATTCACGTAGCTGCAGTTGTGTAACTTAGATTGATGTGATAGTGTAGATTAGGCCTTCCTAATCTCAGAGGGAAGTTGTGTAGAGAAATGTATTGTGAGGTGCTCCATAATAGGGGGAAATATAAACACCTAAGATAGAACAAAGCAGTGAAGAATTGCAGTTGGGAAAGCAGATAGTTCAAGATCAAATCTCTCTTTCTAAGTGATCCATAGAATGAAAAGGTTGGAGAATCTACTCAATCCTCAGCCTGTCAAGAAGACCACTACACTATTACTTCCATATACAGTGATACTGAAAAACTCTTAATGGTTGTGTGTCGTGAATTCCTCATTAGGTGAAATTAATTGAGAGGAGAATCTGCCCATTGGTGGTCCTATCACAAAAAATATCACCACTTTTGGAATTAATTGGCATCCCACTGGATGCCTCACCAGTTAGGCAGAGTACGAGTGGACCATGGAAACTGAACTTCTCTCTTCTCATAAAATTGATCCATCCAGTCACAGTAGATGCAGTGGTACAGGGAAGCTGCCAATGCTGTTTTTGTTCCTTGGATAATGAAAATGTTTCTTTCTCTAAGGCTCTTGTTTCAGCACCTTTCCTCACTTGTGCACAGTCAAAGCCCATCTGACACAAGTCACAAAAATGTCAGTCTGTTTTAGGAGCTGCAGAGAAATAGCCCTGCAAATAGTTGAATAATTACAGAATCTTTATGCTGCTAACTCAGCTTGGAATTTTCCAACCCTATCCCTTCAATAATAAAAGATAAAATTAAAGCATTTGTATTTAGAACTTGCTCCACAGCAGATTGGACTTCAGTCGTCTGAAAGATCTGTAACTCTGAATCTCTGATACAGAGGTAGCAGCCACTGTCCGAGGGGGGCTGGTGGTCTGAGCTCCTGTACCTGGCGTGAGCCGGAACTGAGCTGGGCTGCCAGCCTGCCCAGCTCCTAATATACTTTAAATGCAGGGCTGAGCAGGGGTAGGTCCCGGACTCAGTGCAAGCTGGGACTGAGCTGGGCAGCTGGCCAACCTGCTAAAAAATGTACTGGCAAGGAGAAGAGGGGGAAATGCGTGTAGTCTATCGTATTAACCTATAAGTGTTTGATTACCAGTTAATCGATTAATTGACCACACTATTACATCCCTAAATTGAAAGGGAACAAGTTGGAAGTTGGAGGATGAGGGGGAGAGGTGATCGTAGTAGTCAAGGTGAGAGATGAAAGGCGCAGAACCGGAAAGATGGATTTAAGAGATGTGCTAAATTCTGCCATGTTTATTCTTTGGCAACAGTCAGTATTGTGGGGACAAGGAAAAAGAAAAGTTGAAAACTAACATTGTGAGTCTCGATGACCAGGAGAAAAGTGAGATTGTCAAGGATAGAAAATGGAGAGTTCAGGAGAAAGAATGGCGATTAAGTTTTCATCATATTGCATTTTGAGTTGGAAGCCCGGTATCCATGGTAATTTGTGAGGGAGACGGAAGAGAGGCTGGATGCAGAAAGCAGAGGTCAGAGAAGAGAGGTGATATTAGGAGCTGCCAGCAAAGAAGAGTATATGAAGTTTCTAAGGGATAACTTGTAAAGTGAAAATAGGTGTGGGCTGAGGACAGAGGCCTGAAGGGCACTGTCAAAGAGCAAGTAGAGCTAGGTGAATAATATATTTTCTGTTTGGCCATTAAACTAAAAAAAAAAAAAGTAAAATGTTTTGGATTGGACTGCAACACACTTTGTTTTTTTCCTCTGTGAAATGAAAAATTGGTAAACCTGAATTTCAGATCAAACAAAACATTTTGTTCAGCTCAAAACAACGGATTTGGATTTTTTTTTGTTTCCTTTTGTTTTCAGTGTTTTAAATATTTTTCATTTTTTAAATAAAACTGAGGGAAACAAAATGTTCTCCTGAAAGGAAAATTCAAAATATTTCATTTTGGAAATACTGAAACAGAATATACGGATGTTTCTGATTCAACCTGAATCTGTATTTTTTTGTTGAAAAAAAACTATTCACATAAAAAAATGCATCAGCTCTACTCATAGTAGAATGATGGGAGAGATAGGGAAGGGCCAGTAACAGAAGCAAAGGGAGAAGAGAGGCCAGGGTAAAGAAATTATCTTTCCACCATCTTCTCTGGACTTTGGATTAAGCCCTACATTTACTACATGATTTTTCTTGAGTCTCTGAAACTAGAACAGTGGCTAGGATCCCAAAGTGGGTCATGACCATTTTTTAATGGGGTCATAACTGCCTGGGACCGAAGCTCAAGCCCAATGCTCTTTGATCCTGGGCAGCTGGGCTCAGGTCACAGCCCTTGGGCTTCATCTTTGCTCGCCCAACCCCGCTTGGGTGGACTCAGCTGGGAGAAAGTTGTCTTCTCTCCCTTCCCCCACACCCCTCCCAAAATGCAGATGTCTATGGCTATGCAAAGAGATTAATCCTTAGCAGATAAAGTTCACACAACAGGTAATAAAAGACTGATAATACTAGCACAGAGAAAATCGTCCCACCTGCATATATTGGACCTGATTCTAGTTATTCTGAGGCAGTTTACAATGTTCTGGCAGAATAAAGGAGCCCTAAAGTGAGAGTTTACACCCTACTTTAAGACACTGCTGCAATACTAGGGCAGTACAAAGTGCTTTCTGAAAAAGGAGTGTCAAAGCCTTTAATTGTGGGAATAAGGAGAATTTCACATGCTATGGGAAGAATTTCTGTCCTATCTATTAGAAAATGCGGATGTACAAGTTAGGGATGTGAACGACTAGTTGACCCGCTAATCGATTAGATGCTTCCCCCTGCCCCTTTCTGCATCTATCAGAAAGAGGCAGCAGGGGTGGGGGGAAGGAGAGGGTACTTCAAAGCGGCAGTGCCACGTGGAGCCCAGGGTCACCTGGGGACTCCCCGCTGACCCTGGGCTCCATGTGGCACTGCCACTTTGAAACACCACATGGAGCCTGACACCGGGCTCCCTATGGTGTTTCAAAGTGGCAGCGCCTCATGGAGCTCGGGGTCAGTTCCAAGCATAAACAATTAATACCCAATTAATCTAAATTTAACATTTCCAGTGCAAGTGAAGGTTTTGAGAGGTTGCCAAGGCGGTGTAACAGGTAGTCTAGGGCTATGTTTAATTCTTTTCTTCTGTGTATTTTGTATTGTTGATATGTATAGCTTGATATAACTATTTTAAAATCACTAGATATTTTTTTAAAAATGCTAACCGCCCTCTCCCTTCTCAGAAGCAGCAGGGAGTTATAAAGTTTCCATGGGAAATCCTATGGGTCTTTGGAAGCATGCGGTTTCCAATGTAGTGTTACAAAAGACTGCCACCTACTGGAGACAGCTATTAACATCCTTGCCATGAATTACAAAGAGGAGAAAAGTAAAGCTTGTAGAGATCTCTAGACAGCATTCTCAGTTCATTGTCTTTTCCAAAGAAACTCCCTTGAGCTCAGCATCTTTAGGCCAAAAAAGACAAGTCTCTGTTGTGCTGCAGAACAGCAGTCCTGCGAGTTATTTCTCTGGAGAGAGACGTTTAGGTCCCACTGGTTTCCCTGGAAGAATGAGCAAGTTCAAAGGAAAATTTAGACTTCATAGATTTCTTATAAAAATGCCAAGACTCTCAATTTATAAGTTTCTGTACTAAAGTACTTCAATATTACAGCAATGGGAACCAGACAGCCTGACTGATAGTGTTCCTCACTTGTAGTCGCCTAAGCTATGCAGATCCCCTCCCGTAACTTTTCATTTTGTAAGTTCTTTTTTTAGATATACATTCTTGGCTGATTAAATACTTCTGAAGTTAACAGGGGGAAAATAAAACAGCTTAAATATAGAACAGAGGCACAAGTGCATCTTGGGATGCATAAATTATGGATATAAGCAAGTGAAAGAATGTGTGTGCTGCTCGTGAATGAATGACACATAGGACTGGGCCAGCAGTAATCGCAGCAGGAGGTATAATTTCACATGCCGCTAACTCTAGCGTAGCAGAGCATGGCAGGAAGAAGTGATTGAAAGGAGGGCAGTGCAGAGGTGCCCGTCGTGACTTTAAAACAACAAAAACAACTTCCACAACAATCTTCTAAAAAGAAACCACTGATGATTCCTTGGCTTAAAAGGGGACTGTGTAAAAGAGAAAAGAAGCAGCAGTTCTACCCCAAAAGAAACATGCGATTCTTCCCCTCCCCTTTTTCGTCCATAGCCCTGGTGGTGCCTTAAAGCACAGTAGGTTTTAACCCACCAGTGAGTGGTGAGAAGGTTATAGATGGATGTGGGGCCTCGTATTGAGGGGGGAGAGTTGGAGAGTGAGTTCACCCCACAACAGTGATTCCTGTCCAGTGGGAGTTCACCTGGCTTCCTGCTTCAGGTAATGTGACCGAGTGCACAAGTTTGCAGTGCAAATCAGGTATGACCCACCTGCCTTGCATAGCCAAACCTGAGCGG